GTTCAGAACTGATTATAAGACAGAAATGTTAATTAATCATCATAAATGTTTTACAGTGATTTAGAGTCTATCAGAAGAAAGCTGAAGAAAGGTTATCATCCTGTTGTGAACAGCCATGGAATTTTTAACCTTGAGCTGGTGCCGCTGGCAAATCTTTACTTCTTTCTCTGACTCATCTCTACGCCTGAGGGCGGAACCAAAGTTCGTCCGTTTCTTTGACTAACCCGGACGTATTTGAGTGGCACACTCTTCTTCCTGACTCCAACTAGGAAGAAAGCTGAGTTTCTCTCTCCGGAGAACTCAGTTTGGCTTTTGAGTCTTAGCCCATGAGCTAACTAGGGTAGACTTAACAGCCGGGGCCCGGCACGCCAGCCGGCTGTCCCACCCGAGGCTTCAAGCCTCCAAGTGTGTTTTTACCTCCCGAGGGGATATTTTATTTTGAAAGAAGGAACCGGATGTACAGCTTGAATCTTTCTGGCTGTAGGAGAGGGGGCTTAAGGTGGTATTAAGCTTCTCCCACATCTCTCATACATATGTTTGATTTGATTTATGTTCTGAAAAGAATAAAGACAGAGAGCAAACAGTAATTAGTGTTTGGAGAATTTTTGGAGAAATTTTTAGCCAAATTCAGAATGTTTTTTCTGTTTATTAACCAAGTTCATCACCTCCTTCTGTAACTTTTATTGTATTTTTTCTCTTTCCTTTTTGCCCTACGTGTCCATTAAAACACCAAGATCCTACCAAGTATCTCAGTTTCAGAACTTCTTTTTGAAAAACGATGAGTTTTTACTTTGTGAACATTTAAAGTCATTAAAGCAGAATTTTGTGTTATTATTGTGAAGTGGAGAAACTAAAGACTTTGTGTCATTTTCCAACAAAATAAAATAACCGTTTGGTAAAAGATCATCAGCCTTTCACCTGCGTGATGATTATTTCAGCAAAATGCCAAAGATTTTGGTCACAAGCTTCATGGGTTCCACACCTGCTTCAAATCATGATAAAAGGAGGTGAAAAGCCCTGACTCATAACCTCCTGCTTCTTTATTAGGACTGAAAAAATGCACTTTTTGTCCGTAAAGGGATATTATTGCAAAGTGCTGCTGAACGGCACAAAGGCAGCACCCTGCTGTTAAACAGCTTTATTTAACTCCAGCAGCTCAGACTGAGCAGAGGACAGACTCACACCACCGACACAAATATTTCACCACAACCCACCTCAAACTTTGCTACCCCCCCCCCCCCACCCCCCGCCACTGAAGGAGGGGTTTCATTAAAACATTTCTCCACCTGAGCACACAGAATAACATTACCTGAAACAATAAAAGCTTCCAAGGCTGAATGTGTTTTATGTGATTGTTGTCTTTCAGTTGTGGTTTCCTGTCTGGGACATGAAAATAAAAGCCTGATAACACCTGAACACAAATGGTTTTAGAACAAAAACAGCTTCAGGCAGCAGAGCAGTTAAAAAAAAAAAA